TGGCCTGGCAGAGCATGCTGGGACTGTGCCGCTTCTGCCTGTATCTGTTAGGACGGGCGAGCAGGCAGGTCCTTCAGACAGCATCGCAGTTGCTAATGACTCAAATCTGGACTGTGCCTTCTGGTCGTGGGATCTGCTTTCTGCAAGGGAGATGTTCAACACCAAGCTAATTCTAAACAAACTTTATGCATGAAGCCTTCACCCTGCTTCAGGGATGAGGACGTAAACCCACCTGTGACATCATCTTATTTGAAATTCATGGTCCTTCAGTCTTTTTTGATTATGTCAGCATCCTTGAACATCATATCCTTTTTTGTTGAAGGTGAATGACTGTTGTTCCTTCTATTTTGCATTGATAGATCTGCCTGTTTTTCAGCCCAACATCTCTCCTGTCCTCCTCCCACTGGACAGGCGTCTTTTCCGGAGGCCCAGCAGCGGAGAGCGGTTCCAGATGATCAGGAGGGCTCCACCTTCTTCACTATCAGGTTGCTCCATCCAGCCTTCGTGATGCCTTACCCAGGGAGGCCCTCCCTCCAGCTCAACTTCAGCTCCTCCAGTTTTAGGCCCACAACACAACTCAAAGCCAGCTGCTCAATCACTCTTGGCCCGCACTACCTGTTCCTTCTGTTTGTAGAGCCCGGCGCCCACCAAGGAAGCTACAGCTGTGTTTATCACGTCTTTGCTTTTTCTCAGGACTTCTCCTCTGAGAGCCGTCTGCTCTCCGTCATTGTCACAGGTACGATGTTACAGTTTACTGTAGGACAATACATGATGCTCACCAGGATAACGCTGGAGAGGACTGAGGATGTATGTTTAGGTGTCATGTCTCTATAGTGTGTGTTTGCTATTGGACTCTTGATGTGATGCTGTCCATGTGTTTGATCAGATCCAGCACCTTTTATCATCCGAGCGGTCGTCCTGCCGCTTACTCTGCTGCTTGTGACCGTCTGCCTGTACTCATACTGTAAGGTACTGAGACATGTCTGTTGTTTACATCGCTGACTGAATGAACACTGCAGTCTGTCTTTATTGAACTGAACTGAAGTGAAGAGTGATGCAGGAAGTCTCATCTGTGTGCTGTCATGTCTCTCCAGGCCACCAGGGGGCGGAGATCAGGCCGACAGGAGGACATTGAGCTGGATTTGTATAACCTGGGTGTTGCCGCAGTTGAAGAGAAAGGAGTTCAGGAAGCAAAGTAGCAGCTCCAAGGAACTCATCTTTCACACATGGATTTATCAGCTCTTATACCAGTTTTTAACCAATAATATAAAAATATAGCTTGTTATCTTTCCTCCGAACGTCATCAACAATGTGTAAGTGCCTCATATTTCCTGACTTCCTGTCAGCTACAAGCCCATTGGTCCTTACTGAAGATGCAGATCTTTAAAAACAAATTTGTTTTATTTTGAAAAGTCCAATCAGTCGGTACAGTTTGAAACCAAAGACACATCAACCCATGGAATATGTAGACAATTAAGGTAACATATTTAATTCCCAAGGTGTGAATCTTATTTGATGACATTTGGGCAAATGAATCAGCGCCACCTAGTGTTGGATTTGTAGATCTCGCACATTGAGGGTTGGTGTTTGTGATTTATTTTTAATACGATGAACAAATTAAACAAAGTAAAGTTTATAAAATCAGAGGTTTTTCACAACAATTCATCTCGTTAGTGATAGTGATTTTGTGTGAATAAAGTGTTATAGATTTTTAAGAGTTTGTTTGTATTTTGTAATATAACTTTTTTTAAAGGATTCTGCTTTATTGTGTATTTTAGAAATGTGTTCAAATCCATACTTTTACCTACTTTTAATTAAGAAGGTGTTCTTATTTCTTATTAACTGTGCTCAGTTTTTTTTAATGAATTTGAATTAAATAACGCACATGTGTAGCAGAAGCCTTCAGAAATGATAAAGATGAGCAAGATCACTGTAATAAATGTATCACTGTCATTTGCTTTGTCCAACACAAATAATAAAACTGCTTTAATAATCTATGAAACTCTGAGAATGAGCTGATTAAAAGTGTTTCTCGTAGTTCAAACGTCAGGGCGTCCGTTATGACAGGATTGTATTATGTTAGAAAATAATCTGTGTGGAAACAAGCATTCATGATACTTAGGCTACACCTTTTGTTCAGGAGGATAATTTTCCCATATCAACATGCATTTGAATTATTTCTAATTTTATCAATATTGGAGAAAAATATTTCATTGTTTTTTAAACCTGCTCAACGTCTCCCTCAAGAACAACATTTTAATTAAATGTTTTCTGCCTCAGTCAGTGCTCTATAAGGACACTATTTAAAATTAGGAGGATTCCCTCTGTCCTCTGAAGAATTTTGGATATTTTACATGAATATACACTCCAGGATGTTTGCTCTTACCCTAATCCTAACCATTACTCTAACCCTAATCCTAAACCTAACCAAGTCTTCACCCTAAAATTAATGATTCTTCCCCTCATGGGGACCTCCAATTTGTCCCCATTAGGGCGGCTAGTCCCCACACGTGACTGTGTAAACAGATTTAGGTCCCCACAAGTATAGTAATGCTAGGACACACACACACACACACACACACACACACACACACACACACACACACACACACACACACACACACACACACACACACACACACACACACTTCAGTTTGCCGTACTCGCCATGAACTGTTATTGCTCAGGTTAATCTTGCTCCAGCCTCCGACATAAGCGTGAAGTATTTGGTTGTTGACGGGCAGTCAAGTGGGGCAAGATAAGAACCGGTTTTCGGGGCCAAGAGCCGGCCTCACCGCGATGGAAACAGGAAGAACCGGTGCTTAATCGGGCACTAGCTCCAAACTGGCCATGGAACTGCTTTGGTGAGGAAGGGGGCAACAGTGTGATGCGAGTTGTTGTTCAATGTTGTGTGTGCAACATTTATAAAGTTACACACACACACACACACACACACACACACACACACACACACACACACACACACACACACACACACACACACACACACACACAC